TCTTTCTTCTGCTTGGGTAATTCTGCTTTCCATGCTTATCAATTTGTTATTTATTTCATTCACAGTATTCTTTATTACTGTTATCTCAGATATCAGCTCATTTCCTAGTTTCTTCTTGTGTCTCCTCAATTCTTTTTAGTCTCTCCATTATTGTTTTGATATCTACATTTGCATTTTTGAGACCCTTCATTCTGGGGACTTTTCATTGTTTGTATTCCAAAGTCAATTTTCTCAGTGTCTGCTCTCCCAGGCGTCTGGGAGAGACCCATACTCTTCTTTTGGTTTTTCTTCATTTCTGTAGATTTTTCTCCTTTTACTCCTTTCCCTCCCCCTCTTCAATTCTGTTTTTGAGGGAAGGTGGGGTTGCTTTTATTTCTCTTCTGCAATGACCTGTTCTTCCTTATGAGGGTCTTCTGGTTTTGTTCACTTTTCCCTCTGCTTTACAGTCTGTCTATTCAGCAGTTTGCAGTCTTGGTCCGTTCAGAGAATCTCACCAGTTCACCTATGCCGTCCCCATCTTGCCTCGTCTCCTATCTGTTTATTTTTAAGAGCTTCGAGGAGGGGATTAGGAAGGGAGCAGAGGCTTCTTCAATATCAGCCGTGAGGACAATATGATGGCAAACTATAAAAAGCCAGTTTATCTAATATAGGTAGGGTTAAGTGATGGATCAGCTGGAGTATGGAAGGTGGGACACAGTCCAGTCAGAGGTTCAAGAATATCTAGACAGAATTCTGAAGCAGCTTTTAGCCAGTTGATAATTTATTAGCATCTCTTCAGCTTTTCATACACTGGAAACGCGCCGCCTCCGTGCCGACCTGATTGTTTTTATAATATGAATTCTTACAGACATACTAACAAGTTCTGTTATGCTGTTTTTTCCATTCTTATATAGAAGGGTAGGTGCTTATGAAGGGAAAATTAAGTCTGAATGAGTGGAGGTCTGAGAACAGAAGGACAAACTTGTTCTAAGATGGGCATCTTTTCTTCTTTATTTCCATGGTACTCCAGATGTAGCTGGTTCTTTTGGGTACTGGTTGGAGAACTTTGCCTTTAAAACACAAGGGAGCACAATCTTAGGGGCAAGATGCCGAGTCTTCAGCAGTCCCTGTCCATATTAATTACTTGGCTGCCCAAAATTTAGCTTTTAGGACTTGTCTGTACACACTTTTATCTATTAGCTTGGACCTGGTCAGTCACCCACATACAACCTTTCTTTATCTGCTTGGGCTCTGGCATGTCTCATTTCCCATTCCTGAACCCAACGGTGGCCACAATTCCAATCTGACACCTTCCTTACTGATCTGAGTTAGGCATACTATCTTCTGTTCTCCACCCTTTGTTCACTCTTTGACCCACTCATAGCTTTTAGTTTTGTATCCAGTTTGTTGCTAGCAGCCTCTATTAGCTCCACTCCACAATACATTCCAGAAGGGGCAAATTCTCATTCTGGGAAGTGCTCCAACTCTGATCCATACCTGCATTTCTGACCCTGCCTCTCTGGGTACTCAGCAGCTCTCTGTACCAAGCTCATTAGGAACCTAATTTGCGTTCTTCTCTCTGGATTGTTACATGAACTCATCTCTGTTAAATAGTCTCCAATTTACTTCCTATTCTTTTTGCAAGATTAAAATCTAATTTTTTCCTCTTTTTAAAAATCTTTATTTCCGCGATACCCTGGGCATACCTCAATTCTTATTCCTACCTGTTGTACCTTATCTGTTGTATATCCGATTCTCTGTTTTTTTTTAATTAACTCTTTCTGGGCAGGGATCATGGAATTTCCATCTTTGAATTCCTATGCTCTAGAGCGATGCCTGATGCGTGCATGGATGGGTGGTTGGATAAAAGGATGAATAGATGGTTGAAAGGTTGGATGGTTGGCTGGATGGCAGAGGATGACTGGATGGGCGAAAAGATGAGTGCGTGAATGGTTGGGTTGGCTGACTATTAACTTTGTAATAACATTAGGTGGTGGTTTATAAACAATGACCTTCCACCTGGGATTTTGTGACTTGATTGTTAATGAGTCTAGCACAAACCCCATTTCCCTCTGCACTCCTAGTATAAATTTGTTCATATTTTTATTTGTCATTATACTACAGATCTTCAAAGAGTCTTGAAGTTGGTCTTAGTCAGCATTCTTAAAACGTGGAGCGGACAAGAGGTTTAGAGAGTGCACAGCAAGTGGCTATTGTGAAACTAGAGTTGTTTTCACTGCCCACTCTTACCCCTAGTTTGACTTGCCATGATGCATGGCTCTCTAGGCTTCATTAGGCTTTTCATTAAGAGGTTGGAAATAATCACATTTACCTCTTTCACAAAGGTTAATGAGATGAAATTGTTTGAAAAAAGCAATACATCTATTTATCTGGTGTGTGTTTCTGTTATTAAGGTTTGTTTGATATGTCCCCTAGGAGAATTTTGTGAAAACATAAATATTATTACCCCTCTTTTGTCACTGAAGTTCTAGACACAAATAAGGATTTGTTTAAAGCATTGAAGAGTAGCACAGGCAGAAACTGGAGCTCACAGTCTCTGCTGCTATCTGAGACTGTATTGTTTGTTACCATTGCTAAGATATAGTTTGTAGGGCCACAGCATTATTACATAGTGTGGAATCCCAGCTGTCAAAGGAGATGGGCTGGCTCAAAAGTAGGCATCACAAATGGGTTTCATACTGAGTGCCAACTTCAGTTTGTAGCTGCAACCAGGAGTTCAGAAGGATTCTGAGGCCCTATCTGGATTGCAATTGTTCAATGATGTCTGTCATGTCATGAATAAAAGATCTCCTTCACATATTTGTCATATATTTTCCATCCCTTTTCTAAGACCATAATAGGTGTTCATTATGGTAAGTTTCCAAGTTGGCTATCCACTGATTCATCATAATGATTCATGAAATTGTTCGCAATAAATTATCTACAGAGATTTTGTGGTTTCTGGAAGCTGTTTTGTTTTTGTTTTTTAACTAAATACATGTATGCAACTTTCTCCTTCCATGAATGTGGTTAATGAAAACATAGAGAGGGAGAGGTAAAGAAAGCTAATTGTGATGTTTACACCTGTTAGAGTCATTTTCTTTAAAGGACAAATGCTTGTCTTCCTATCCAGGGTGGGCTGTATACTGTGGAGGGAGGGTGATTTTGCAAGCAGTTGTGGTTGGTAGTGTGTTGAAAATTAGAATGGAAAATTTAAAATGTTCACTTCTGTGCAGATGCAAACATAATCAGATTAACTTTATTTTAAGCTTCTATTACATTCTAATGAATAAGATTTACTAAGTTAAGCCAGTTGAACCATGAAGCAATATGCATTTCACTTTAAAATTGGGTATTGAAAGGCTTGAGAGATATCTTAATGGACTTAATGTGCAACGTATCTATAGAGGGGTCCAGATAACCCTCCTCATAGGTTAGTGCTGAAGGCTCAGGAAGAGTCTTCAAGGCTTAGAAATGTAGAACCAGAACATTCCATTTTTGGTTCCCCACCCCCACCCAGCCTCAGCATCCTTCCCACTGTTCATGTTTTGGGAAGAATCAGTTTACTGACCTAGGCATATCCAAGGAAAATTTCTACTACAAATCAGCCTTGCAAATAAATATCAGGTGATCTTGTCCATTGAAGCCTTGGAGCATAATACAAAGGACGTCAGTGTCCTCTGCTGTTGAATCAGAACTAACAATGGCAATTTGCAAGGCTGAGTCCGTATTACCTGTCAGCACCTGAGTGCCAGGCTGAGGTCTCATCATGGGTGATGTAAAGGGGACAAGCGAGAATCAGTGATCACTGTCCTTCCACATGCCTGGTCCCTAAAGCTACCAGCTTCTCTAGCTTGTTGGGCTTAGTCTACCTTTGTAAAAGGGTCTGGGCCCGCATCATTTTGCATAGAAGATGATCCCGGAGAGACAGGTGAAGTATAAATACTAAATAGGAGATAAATTCTTCAATATTTCAGTTATAAATCAACCTCTTTACTTTCTAGTACTGCACCCTAGAAAGGGTTAAAGTAGAGGATATTGGTTCTTGCTGATCAGGTCACAGTGTGACACCTTCTATAGAATGTACTGTAAAACGACATTATTTAATAGATCTGAGTATTGCACCTGCTTTCTTATCGCCTCATAGGTGATTAAGTTTCCCACAAATGAAATTTGTTAATATGAGGCCACATCTTTTCACAAGGTAAATCTGTGAAATTTGGCAGGCAGTCGCTTGGCTGCAGGTGCAAGATGAAAGACCTTTCCCTGGCTTTGCCAAGAAGAAAAATGATGTTGTGCTCCAGTCCTGGGAAAAATATTCTGACATAGAGGGTAAAACCTGATTCCAAGAAAGGGGAATAGAATTCTAGGCCTCAAATCCTGTATCTCCCTCCTTTTTAGGGAGTATGCTGCCCCTAAAACACTGAGTGGGAAATCAGAAGTTGTTTTAAATGAGGCCAGGTATTGAGCAAATCCCCCTACTAAGGCAAGCCCTCTGATATTTGGAGCTGCAGCCATTTGTGATGATGGATGATGGTTTTGACTCTTATGAGCTATGAGAGATCAATTAGAGCTTAATTAAAGCTAATGCTCAGCATCCTCTGGAAGGTGGAGCAATTAAAAACCAACTTCCAAAACTGAATAGCCAGGGTTTTGAAAAGTGTGTCTTTGAAATATGTGGCATCCCCACTCTAGGGTGCTCTCCAGTCCTGTCTGGGTCTTCATGTCTAAATTAAAGCAAGAGCTGACTATTTTTGCATTAGAATTTCCTTAGCTAAGACTGCAAGAGGCTAAGTGCCTAGATCCATTTAGCCTTCTGTGTGATTTACATGGAAGATTGTCTTTGGATCTGCAAGTCCAGCTCGCCGTACACATGTCTCAGGGAGTCACTGGTCATGCTGGCTATCAGCTTCCGTGGTCCAGAGACCCAAGGCTGACAAACTTCTTCCCACTGCACAGTGGCGTTGGGCGGTATTTCACTGAAAGAATGGAAAAGAGAGGAGAGGTTGGCAAATCCAGCTTCCCACCCTGATCAGAAAGCAATGAGAACCCTTGCTAGGTCACGTACTCTCTTTCTTTCACGAATGGTGCTTAGAGGACCGAAGGGCCGGATTGGCTGACTCAGCAAGTTACAACCCAAATGAAGCTCCTGTATGAGCCTCTGTAGAGCCTGTCACCACAGTCCCATTAGGTCATGTTTCCTTCCACTTGGATGCATCTGCCAGTCTCCCAGTCTCCTTCAGGAGCTGAGCTGAGCCATTGGTCAATGGAACTCTAGTTTGTCCCCAGGCCCTCCACAGTAGCCATATCTATGTGACTGATCTTTTGCCTCAGCTCATTTTTTGCCTCTGTAGTTCCTGGGATTAGAGTCCTATCCAAATCACCCGGCACTCTATTTAGTTATTGCTGTTTCCCTATAGACTTTGTTCCCAACCCACCATCTGGAACATAACCTTTCCTGATGCCATCTAACTATGAATATCTTCATGTTTTATAGTTCAAAATCTTATTTCAACCACCAAATTGGGTCCCTCCACCCATTCTACTTTCTGCTTCTTTGTTGCCAGTGCCCTAATCTATAATGACATAGCCATTAATGGTTCTAATGTTCTCTTCTTTCTCCCAGTCTATGCCCTGAGGTCTTCCTAAGGATCATAAACAAGCCTACTCCAGTGGTGATTGAAGTCAATTATGGTTGGGAAGATTTAGGCTTCTCTAGGGTGCTTCACACATATCCTCCCCTGTAAGTCTTGGGAGAAGATTATATTCAGATTTCTTAAATTTGACAGTTTTTTGAAGTAGATACTATTCAACACATTTTATAATTACAAAGAAAAACGAGGGTTAAAAATCTGAAGTCACCTTTTCTTTTTCTTTTTTTTTTTTGAGTTGGCGTCTCACTCTGTCACCCAGACTGGAGTGCAGAGGCACCCTCACGGCCATTGCAGCCACGACACCCTCCGCCTACACAATCTTCCAGGTCGCACAACCTAATGGCACCTAATGGCTCAGGTAATGGATATGCTGGAATAAGAACCAGCTGCATATTTGTTCTAGATTCCTGCTAGGAAAGTAGAGTAGTTACTATTCTGAATTTCACGAAAACCTGAACATCAGAAAGTAAAACGAAGGATGGTAAAAAGACTTGCCACATAGCAAAAGTATTGACTGCTTCCTCTTAGAGATGACACAGCACAATCTGCACCACATACTTTTGTACAATGTAGCACAACTTGCTCAATATGACTTGTTCAGATAGATGTAAGCTCATCTAATTTTCAGTTATTTTATGGTCACTAAAGCTGGTGCATACTGAATTTGAATGCTAATAGATTCAGGGACCTAAAATCTCTATAAATACTTAGCAGTTTGGGGTGCTCAGAAATTATGAAAATGGAGATGCTGTTACACATATATGCACTGAAGATCTTGTTTATAGTATGTTTTGAGCATGGTTCCATAATGAACACTGTGGAGTTTATTTAATGACTATATCTGCCTGTCAGATGGAGCTATAGAGAGAAAAGCAAATTGGAATGAATGTATCCATTTTAAAAAGTCAGATTTTTCTCTCTAAATAATGTGCAATGATCGGTGTCTATATAGACAAATATTGACTACTGGCTATAAGCTCCATGGACTCTGGAGTCAAGGCACTTGGGCTCAAAACATGACTCTCCCACTTATTAATTGTATAATCTTAGGCAATTTATTGTCCTTCACTAAGCCTCTGTTTTCTTCTCTCTACAATGGGAATTATGTAGCACTTACCCTATAGAACTGCTGTGAGAATTAAACAACCCAAGCAAAGAACCTGGAACCGAGTGAGGGATGTAATGAACATTCATAAATTATTAGCTGCTACCATTTCATCCTGCCAGTTTTTGTTTGTTCACGGGATGACAAAGGAGTGCCTCAGCTGTTCCTTCTTCTCCAACCCTCATCAGATGAATTTATCATGAGAGAAAATTTTATCAAATCAGCAGGTTATAGTGACTTTTAGGCAAAAGCGATCCTTGGCCGATATCCAACTTTTAGGCAGAGTAGAAAGTGAAGGGAACATTACCAGTGTGGCTGGTTTAGTCAATAGACAAGCAAATCTGCTAACTCAAGTCCAAAGCAATGTTTATGATATTAATGAGTAGGCTGAATTTTGTGCCTAACTCTTTTCTCCCAGTGGTATGTGGACTTGGAGGATGGCTAGGATCTGTACCACAAAGTGTGGCTAAGTTTCAATGAATGCTTGTCTGAGTGCACAAGAGACCAGGGGGTCTCAGTTCTCCCTTGGAGGGACCATATTCAGGTTGAATGAAAAGGTATAGATAAGAACTGAGGAGGAAAAGAGGTCAGGCATAGTGGCTCACATCTGTATTCTCAGCATTTTGGGAGGCTGAGGCAGGTGGATTGCTTGAGCCCAGAAGTTCGAGACCAGCCTAGGCAACATAGTGAGACCCCTCTCTATAAAAAGTACAAAAAATTAGTCATGCATTTTGGCATGTGCCTGCTGTCCCAGCTACTCAGAAGGCTGAGGCAAAGGGATCATATGAGCCCGGGAGGTTGAGGCTGTGGTGAGCTGTGATCATACCATTGTGCTCTACCTAGGAAACAGAGTGAGATCTCCACTCAAAAAAATACATAAATAAAAGACCAGGTCAGACAAGAATTCCACCATTCACGTCAGCACCCATGACAAGGGAGCTGAGGAAGGAAGCTGAGTCAATGGGAGCAACTGGATGATGGAACTTCAAGGAGAAAAGGATGATGGAACTTCAAGAACAGAAATACTTCAGGGGGTCTGAAGAGAGAGCTTGTGTTCAGAAAGAGTAATGTGTTGTGCAAAGAAATTCTGTGGCTAGTTCCATAGACTCCTGGGAGATTGCTCTGGGCCTGGGGTAAGATACTTCTACTAGACACCATGGAGGGACCTGAGGGCACAGGAGCTGAAAGTGATGTTGAGTTTTGGACTGGAGACATGTTGGAAGGAAGCGAACTGCCAAAGAAAATCAAGAGGGTCTCAAGAGCTTCAGCTACCTGAGTCCCCATTTACCCTTGGGGGCCTGGGGCCATGCAGCATCATTTCAAACAGAGCTAAAGTGAAGGGGGAGATATGGGGCCATATACCTGCATAGGACCTGTTCTGTGTAAAGGTTGAACCTCAAGATTTCCTCAATTGTCAGTAAAACAATGTGCATTTCAGCTGGCTGTGGGTGTATGTGTTTGGGGATAAAAAAGGAAAAGGCCCAAATCGTAGAAATTCAGATGCTACATAATAAATCCCTTTCTCCAACATATCTGTGGCTGGTGAATTGGAAAAGGCATCTATGACCTTGGGGAGCTCTCTCTATGAAGCTGTTCCAGGCATCGACTTTGACACTGATCTTCTAAAATGTCTAAATTAATTTGACATTTGCTAATGCTTTTTAAAATTTGGTTCTTTAAAAATGTGGCTATATAAATTATTTTAATCAGCTATATAAAAGACAAATTATGTTTTAAAAAAGCACACATACATAACCTATATACGTGAGTATTTCTTCAAATCTAGTGACTAGATTGTATGAGTCAAGGTTTGAAAGACATTGCCTCATCATTGTTTCCTCAGTTGTAAAAGGTGGACACTGTGGAATATTGAACAGGGTGAGGAGAAAGTAGGATGAGTTATTTTGCATTCCAGCTAGAACCATGGCACGAGCCAAAAACGTGTTAGAAATATGTTCTTCTTCTTATCATTATCATTATTACCACCATTTTTGAGGTTTTCTCTGCCTGAACCCTTTGCAAAATAATTTAAGAAAGTTTCTCCTGCCTATATGCAGAAAGATAATGCTCTGTCCTTAATTTACATTGACCAATTCAATATGAATGTAGGTTTAGGATAATTTATTTCTCAAGAGCTGTGCTAGTTTTACAGGTATCCATTCACTTTCTCTCCCCTTGTTTCCCCCACGAGATCCACCAGAAGCACCTTGTGAATCCATTGTCCTGCTTAAGGATCTGACCTGGGACGATGGAATGTAGGTAACAACCTCAAACAGAAACTAAGTCTTGACCTTTACCTCACCACTCTCCCTTCCTCATGAAACCTCCCACATAATTATATGTACATGTGAAAATACTCATACACAAAGATACATATGCATGTTATTTTATCCACAGATAACTTCATAATAGAAAGAGAGAAAAATATCATTTGCCTTTTTTGGTAAGTGGAGTAATGTTGAAATAATCCTATTTCCTGGGGATGGATGCTGTGATAAATGATTCTCAGTAATGTGCTGAGCCATCAGGATGTACCGACCATTTATCATCTTGAATGCACACAGGCAAATGGGATTATTATTGCAATAAACTGCAACTACCCATGGTTTGTCCTCTGTGTGTTGACTCTCAGCTTCTGTCCTACTTGAGAAACTTACATTTTAAACTCAAATCACAAAGTGGGGAAAATTTTCTCTTGAAATAACTCACTAAACCTAATCATTTTTTAAAGAGAAAAATGAATCTGAAAGACGAATTACTTGATGCTCTGGAAGCATCAAGTACATCAACTTAAAAACAAAGAGTCTGTGGTAATGGAACATCTGAGCATCTGAGATAGGATTCAGTGAGGGGCAAGCAGGATGGTAAACTGTCTTGGAACAGAGCTGGCTCACACCCTGAGTGGGAAGTGAGATATCACCTTCTTTGTTACTGCTTCCAATTCTGCTTACCAGCTCCTTTCTTCTAGGCCCTCTGCCTTGGGTTGGAGACTCCCTTGCCTTTGGTAGACCAGGTAGGGGTGTGGATTAATGAGTAGGGATGGTGATTCCCTGACAACTTGAGATCTGTATTCTAAAAAGAAATACAGCCTTGTAAAGGATTTTTGGTTCCATGGAAGTGTACTTTCTAGGGGTCTACATTGTTACACGAATCTGGTATTCCTAGATCTGCTCTCACTCTACTAAGAGTACCTTGAGCCAGTGAGTGGGTAGGACATCTGCCTTGTGTGTGAGTAGGGACTGGCTTTGCCCATCCTTTCCGAAATTCACCCTACTTTCCACTACCCCAGTGTCAGATATCAACAATAAGCAAAGCATCTGGAAACTTTTTTTTTTTTTTTTGAGTTCAAGTCTCACTCTGTCACCCAGGCTAGAGTGCAGTGGCATGCTCCTGGTCACCGCAGCCTTGACTTGCTGGGCTCAGGCAATTCTTCCACCTCAGCCTTCCAAGTAGCCAGAACTACAGGGCACGCTACCACGCCTGGCTAATTTTTTGATTTATTGTGGAGAAGAGGTCTCACCATGGCTTATCTTGAACCTGTGGGTTCAGGCAATCCTCTCGCCTTGGCCTTCCAAAGTGGCTTGAACCACTGCGCCTGGCCTAGCATTTGGAAACTTAAACTACCTTGAGCCCTATGCCTCCTAAATGGTGTGTCATTGCACTGTGTTAGAATTCATCTTTTGTTTAAGACACAGAGTGTCCCTTTCCATGCATTGATCTTGATCAAGGTGGGATTCTGGGATCAACCAAGGTGTAAAGGTAGTGGAAGGTTCCAGTACATTCAGACGTGGGGTTACTGTTCGAGAAGGAAAAATTGGATACAGCAGCGGCCTGTTTGGAAGAGAAGACGTGTTTCATTTTGCCTGAGTGATTCTTGCATCTGATTTGAGTGGGAAGGTGAGAGAACGGGTGAGCAAGACTGTCGTCTCTGACGAAAGCAGGGCTATCGTTGCTGACCTCTCCCTGTAGCAAGGTTTGATTACTAATTTAATTCTTGTATTCCTGCAACTTTCTATTAGCAAAGGACAGTTATTATGTTTTGTGCTTGCTTTTTTTCAAAACCACTCAAATTATTTTCTTTGTTTTTGATTGCATCCGCAGTAAGGCATCCCTTACATGATGGCATGAAGAAGCTGTGAGGACTGTAACTTGAAAGAAATGCAGAGAGCCCTTTGCAGGCAGTCAATGTGCCCCAGAGGGGGTAAGTGAGGCCTTGTGCTTGTCCCGCAGATTCCACGATGGAATAACTTCCATAAAGGGAAATGGAAAAATTCCTAACAAATTTGGTCATAAGGCAATCTCCAAAGTCCTCCACCTCCCTCTCTATGCTTTAGAAGGTCACCCTCCAGGAAATGTGCTAGATTGATTGATGCTGACAGGGACTTATTTGTGGAAGAAATGAAAGTAATAAACCTCAAAGATTGGGATCCATTCTAGGTGTCACACTTTAAGGGGAGTAGTGACAAATTGGAATGTGTGGGAGAGAGAGGGAGATGAAACCACATTAGAGGTGAGAGAGATTAAGTCAGGGCAGATATTGGTCCCAAGTAGAGAAGACTTGAGGAAGATGAGAGAGCTATTTGCAAACATTTGTAAGTCATCAGATAAAAGAGAGATGAGCCTTATTTTGTGTCAGTTCAGATGGCAGAATTAGGAGCACTGGTAGGCTCAAAAGATAGAAAAGTGTGCTTTCTTACCATTAGAGCTACCTGATCATGAAATGGCTTGTCTTGTTAGGAGACACTCTTTGTCAATAGAAGTCACAGAACTGAGACTTCTCAGGCACACTTTGATGACATTTTGTGTGGAAGAGGCTGCGTTCCATTCATATTATTATAAAGCCTGGAGTAGTCTTTGGTCCTCCAAATGTGGAGCCAAGTCTAGAGTGCTTCAGGCTCTCCAAAAAAAAAAAAAAAAAAAAAGACTAAAACAAAAACCACAGTTGTAACAGTGATAGAAGTTGGTAAAATAAGTTGGTAAAATCTGTGAGGTGGGGTTGGAAAGGAAGGATTCATGCAAAGTACCTTCTTTAACTTAATCTATAACTCATGGGAAAAATTCTATAAAGATTAGTAGAATCGACACATGAATAGGTAGTGTGGAAAAATGTTTTGAACTTGGGTTCTGAAATTATCCACCTGGCATCTGAATCTTGGTATTCTTCTAAACTGTGTAAGTTGAGGGTCAACCAGTCAATCTCTCAAATTCTCACATTCTTCACTTACAAGGGAGATAATTATAGTACCTTATTAGGGTGGTTTTAAGGCTTAAATGAAGAAAGTGCTGGTAAAACCAGTACTATTTTTATTTCATGACCCACAGAAATGGTCAATAAGGAGGTGGCAGGTTCTTAGACATTTTCTTTGGGAGTGGATATAAGTTTGGAAAAGACACACACACACACACACACACACACACACAGAGAGAGAGAGAGAGAGAGAGAGAGAGAGAGAGAGAGAGGTAGACAGATAGATAGACAGAGATAGATCTTCCCGCAGCCCTGTGCTGTCTACCCACATTCCTCAACTACTCAGGGCTCACCGGAACATCTTCCTCTTTGGTCTTGTTATTCCAGGACCATCCAGGTATATCCAGACATTTTGCAGAGTTTCTTTTAAAGGATTGGTGAACTCAACAGTCACAACCATGTCAGAACCAACTATCTGAGCGCCACGGACCTAAGAAACAAATAGAGGGAGAAAGTGGTTTATTAACAGCAAGCAAAAACTCTTTCTATTCTCTTGTTTCCTTAGCTATCTTCCCTTTTGCTAAAGTTTAACAGTATGGTTATTTTTTTGGCAATGGAACCCGTGTGACAAAGATAGCTTATTGCTTTGACTGGGGGATACCTATTGAGAAAATCATGGGAAATTACTAATTAGAATTGCACTCTTTTCCTCATTATAAAACCAACCTAATTAGAACTCAAGTCAGTAGCCATGGCCACTGGCTGTTCTCTTCGGCAGGAGGTAGACGTGCATTTGGTACAGCAACAGATTTTGTGGTGAGGGTGGCCAAGTGAACTCTGGTTCTGGATAGAGCTCAAATTTTCTGCCAGGACATAGGGAATTTTTGAGTTTAAGTGGTAGAAAATGTTCCAGGGGGCTTGTGTCTTCTTACTTTCAGCCACATTAGAAAGCAATATGGACAAGGAGAGAGTTCTTACTGTTAAACATGAAGAAGAAGCTGGTCACTAAAATAGGGAAAAGAGATTTTTGATCTGCAGCCATATCTGAGTCTGGGAGGTTATAGGACTGTTTGCTGGTGAGTTGATCTATAACGACTCTCAGGAGTATCAGGTATTTGTAAAAGCATCATAGGAAATGGTCAGAGCTCAATGCCAGCTTCAACACTCAATAGCAGTGGGGCCTTGGTGACTTACACAAACCTTCTGAGCCTCAGTTTCTTTTTCTCTCAAATGAACTGATGTTTGTATGGGGTAATCCATGTAGAATGCTATTATGACTATTATTATTATTAAAATTTTTATAATTTATGTAGTGTTTACTATGTACCACAGACTCGGAACTATATGTTTTCCCAACACAAACACAATGTACTGGAAAATGACCAGGTAGCTAAAAGATTTGCTTGTTTGTTTAAGGGCTATGTATGCCAAACGCACAGATCTGTATAAGCTCTAAGTAACTTAGAAACAAGATAAAAATAATAGTTCTTCCCTCATGAGAAAGGATTGCAATGAGATAAAGCACATAAAACAGTGAACACATTGCAAGGCGCATGGAAAAAGTTCAACACGTTATAGCTCAGGTTTGTTTTTAGAGGAGCAATGATCTAAGTACGGGTGCTTTATACACTCTATATTTTATACACTCTATATTACCTTCAATACCTAGCCAGTGTCCATTAAATATTTGTTATATTAAGTTGATGACTCAAAAATTTACTGTTGGAATTTACTGTTGAGTTTTCTATATGACAACCCAGCCATATTTATACCTTGTTTCTTTAGCCACACATGAACATGAGCCTTTCTTATGATGAAGGTAAAGAGGAAGAATATTGCCCTGAGAAGAGGAGCCTTCTTACTGACTCTAGAGCCAAGAATAAAATCTTCCTGATTTGATCATTATGCATTGTAGGCATGTATCAAAATATCACAAATACCCTATAAATATGTATAATTATTATATATCAATAAAAAGAATAACATCTTATAGCTTTTATCATACCATGATTTTTGACTTTTTTTCTATGAGATTTTTTTTTTTTTGAATTGGAGTCTCACTCTGTCGCCCAGGCTGGAGTACAGCGGCACACTCACAGTCACCCCAGTGTCGACCTGCTGGGCTCAGATGGTCCACCTCAGCCCTCCAAGAAGCTGGAACTACAGGTGTGCACTACAACACCCGGTTAATTGTTGATTTATTGTAGAGACGAGGTCTTGCCAAGTTTCCCAGGCTGGTCTCAAACCCGTGAGCTTAGGCAATCCACTCGCTTTGGCCTCCCAAAGTGCTGGGATTACAGGCTGAGCCACTGAGCCCGGCCTGAGATTTTTTTAAGTCTGTAGGAAAAATGAAACTTTCAGCCAATTTCCCAAGTTTGTTACATTCAAATCCCCATCTCCTGGGGGCAGGGGGTGAGAACTGCATTTAGGGCAATTAGGAGTGAGGTAGATAATGATCATGATAGTGATGACAGCAGGTGACAACCATCTTAGAGGGCATGGATTGTGTGCCAGGCAGGGAGTCTAGTGCTTTAACCAGCAGTCTTCAATCTGGTGTGCACAATAGAATCACCAGGAAAACTTTAAAACTCCAGCGATTTAGACCCATTCCAAACAACTAAATTACAATCCCAGGTGGTGGAGCCTTTGATTTATTTATTTGAAACACCCCTGTTGATTTCTAGGGACCAGTCTCAGTTGACAACCACAGTTCACGTACATTCTCACATAAGCCTCACAACACTAGGGCTGCAGTTGTGTCAGCACTAAGAAACCTGGGAACAAGACAATACTATATTAATAGTATTTCCCTTAGAAAGAAGAAAGTTTTCTGGGGCAGGACCCTTGGTGCCAGGCCTTTCATTTTATGAAAGAGAAAACTGTGGTTCAGGGAAACACATAACTTGTATGAGGACTTGAAGCTACTAAACAACTGGGCTGGGACTCAAGTTCAAGACTATCTAATGAGAGAGCCTGGACTCTTAAGATGGAGTCCTGGATTCTGAGGCCAGAAGAGCTGAAGAAGCCAACAACTCAGCAATAACAAAACATCCAAAAACATTTTGTATTGAGGTCCAAAATGCCAGTTGGGAAGTAAGGGAGATTTTCAAATTGGTGGGAGCACTGTTGGATTTGAAGCCACAGTGACAAGACTGAGAATCAATAAGGCCCAATGGGGAGGAAACTTGTTAAATAACAGGCAAACTGGAACATGAACCAGCAGTTACTTTTATGTCTGTTGGCACATGGGGTGTGGATGGGTTAGACCGGTTTGAAGGCTATGGCCAAGTCAATAGTCATGGTCTAGACCAGGGTTTCTCAGCCTCAGCACTACTGCCATTTTAGACTCCCTGGATCTATGTTGTGGGACTGTTGTGCACAGTGGAAGATATTTAGCAACATCCATGGTCTCTCCCCACTGCATGTCAGGAGCAACCCCTGGCCCCAGTCAACACAACCAAGCACACCTTGGGAAGCAAAATTGCTCCCTCCCTCCCCTAGTTGAAAACCACTGGAACAAAATATGTAGAGTCAGACTGAATTTTTCACTTTCTTCCCAGATGTCCTGATGTGATAAATTTAGATATTGGAGGTACAGAAGTGTATTAGACTACATGGTGCCTTTGCTTTAATTCTCAAGTGTGTCCAAAATATTTTTTCCTGCCATAAAAAGTTTTCAAAAACCTTTCGATTAAAAAAAATGCATGATAAAAATAACAGTTACAAAAAGCTCTCTAAATTGGAGAAGCTGGAGCTGCTACAAAGACATTACTAACAAAAGTGTTTGCAATGGTCACTCTAACTCTGGAGAAAGCATTTTGGAGCCACCTGCCTTCTCCAGGTGTTATTATTATATATTACATGTTATATATTATATATTATATGTTGTTATATATTATTTATTATTATTATGGCATGCTATTATAAGGACAGGCACAAGCCACTTAAAAAATAAGTCTCATAGTAGCTACTGAACCTTCCCCTACACAGACATGCACAGAGACAAGAACAGAATATATACACTATGGGCACAAATTTTTAGGAGCTACATTATGGATCCAGGGTATCTATACATGGTTCTCTAGGGTCTATGAAACCCAGATTAAGAATGCTTTCCATAGGTAGGCTAGCTCTACAGGAGGATTCTTATATTGTGGAAAACAAAGTACACCCTTCCAGACCACTGATAATGGTGACAGGGAGCATTTAGTATTTGAAAGGCTGGCCCATGTGTTTGGGCCTTCATGGATAGGCCTCAGAATTTCATATGACCCAAAGAGAGTAAGCCTTCTTGGATAATTTCACATGTTATGCCCAATCAGTTTGCTTCCAGATATTATCTCTTGTAATTACCTGCTGGCATGGGTATATCAATGCTGCCCAGACCTTCCAGATACTGGAGCAGGGAGAAGGCTGGGGCAGGGTGTGGAGTTAAGAGGGGGGACCCTTGTCTGGTTGTAGTGTGCTTCTTTTGCAATTAACAAAGCCTCGGTGTCCTTTTTCTGATATGTCTCCTGCACCCAGAATTTAAGCTTCCTGCCCCTAATTACTGAGGTGACAATGAGCCTTATTAGACACACGAACCAAACTCAATACAAAAACCTTCTCAATGTTCACTGTTTTCTGTTTGGGAAATTTAAGTGGAGGGATCTTCCCCTCCTCACTTCTTTTGGGGAAAACGGAGTCTGTACATAATGTTTTCACCTTCTGCATTGATTTAAGTGATGCTCCATACTATGCTGAGAACAATGACTATTTTAGGAGGAAATGTCCATTTGCATCTCATTCTTTTAGAAGTCTGTATAACTTCCTTTCCTTTATTACTGTAGATATAATTCCATTATCTGCGTAATTGTATTTCTGTTTTCTTTGCTCGCATAAAACCTTAAATAAAGGAAGTCTTCAGGCAATTTAGAGAAGGTTAGATCAAGAAGAAACTCCTATGTGTATTCACTTTGGAGAAGAGAAAAGAATAAAGCACATGTCATACTCGGTTTTACCAAATGCTTTGGCATGTATTTGATGGCTCTGATTTTTTTTTTCAATATTCCATTTAAAATATGTAATACGATGCTTTTCCAAGTTAAGTACCTCTTACCAATATTGACACACTGATTTCTTGTCCTTTATAGTATTTTATGATAATGAGCTGCTACTCAGATTCTTTGGTAAACAGGAAATTTACACACACACACACACACACATACACACGCGTGCGCGCACACATAGAAACTTTTTGGAAGAAAATGCTTTTTAGGAAACCACAAGATATCTCCCACTGAACATATGCTTTACAAAGTACATAAGTGCATTCAAAACCAAAACTGAATGAAGGAAAAAGTTTGAGAAAGAGTGAATTAAGTAGGCAATTTGATTTACATGATTTATCAGTGCACCTAACAGCCCTTATTCAAGTGCTTTCAATCATGCATTCCAGATATTACTGGAAACTGAGATTTGTCCTCCTTGACTTGTGGTCACTGCTGGTAA